TGAGAGCGTGATGATGAGAAGATTATTCCCCAAGTATCTCCAATATTGTTACTACTACTGATAGTGGCCAGTAGTAGACCGTTGTTGAACTCCTTCCTTTTCTCCTTTCTGTTACTTGATTTCCGCTGCACAATTAGGTTCTTTTGTACTATAAAAACAATCATCAATAATAGACAACTCAAGCTGTAAGTTCATTGAGAAATGAGCTCCACTTGACGATGGATCTTCCTTAGAATCCTGTCCATTCGCCACAACTTTGCTGCTTTTGCACCCCGAATCACATCTTTGCTGCTTTCTTCTCTTCTTCCATCAAGCAGTCGGTTTCTTGTCCTCCTGAATCGTAAACAGAGAAACAAAACACTGAGAAAAAACACTTTTTGATTTCAATTGAATGGCTTCATCTTCCTATACATAAGAGGTGAGTAGCTGCTTATCGTGTAACCTTAAAAAACCATCATGTAAATCCCTAATAGCTCAGTTAAGATGTTTAAGGGAGATGAAGGGAAGAAGATTAGCACAGAGGAACCCACCAATTTTACAGCGCGACCTCGACACAACATTGAATATGATTGAAGAGGATGTGCGAGAAGCGCAACCTGGGCAGTATCGCTAACGCGCGATCGATTCAAGGAATCGATGCATTTGAAAATGAAAAGTACACCGTCGGACGGCAGTATGGAGAAGGGTTGAACGCCGGTGGAATCGAGATACCTCCCTGCTGGTGATGGAGGGCTCTTGGTTTTGCAACGTTGGAAAAATGGGTGAGGAGTTTCTGATTTATGGGAACTGTCGGCCAGTTGTACGAAACGCAAGCAAAAAGAGTCCCAATAACGAATCGGTTACACGGCGGTATGGAGAAGCCTTTGACAGAGGAGAGTTTTGGTTTTGAGTAGCCAAAAACCTGAGACACAAAGAAAGAAGTTCGGAAGGAAGAGAAGGACGACCACTCGACCAACAGCTTTGCGAGATGGCAGTCCGGGGCAGTGGTACACGATGAGTTGGCCCATTCTACTGAAGAAAGAGAAGAAAATTGACAATGTCTATTCTAACCTTTCTATAAACGCTCATGAAGCAGGGATTTTGAAATGGGGCTCCCATTTTTCCCTTCGACGTATTATATTATGTGTAGATATAAAAGCTCAGCTGAAAGATGATGAGCAACAAGGGACTGACATCTATTCAAATTTCCATAAATTCCCCACTTCTTTTATGTTATTTACAATATTACCATTCTGTCCCATAGTGCCAGCCCTCTGTCGCTTTCTTTGACACCAATTATGCATCAGTGGAGTTAAAAAGGGAATTGGATTTTGCTTGGCTATATGGGCCTTAGGTATAACTTAATAATTATTTAATAAGCCTAATAACGTAAAGGCCAGGCCATCCGGGGCGTAGAGCGGCCATGGGAGTCTAGTAATACTAATAGCAAAACAGTGACATCATTTGAATTAAATACATGCACGAAGGTTTTATATTCCACAACGATGAAAGTAGTGTCACCACCCGTTCAGAAAGAAAAGGGCTTGAAAATAGTGTAACTATACCACCAATTATATTGTGTATCCAATTGGGCTCCATGTGAAGGCACCTACCAGGTAATTGCCCCAAAGCCATGAATGCCAAAACCACTTGCCTAGGTAGCAGCTTTCAAGCATTGGATAAGATTAGACTAATAACTCATGAACGAGTGTAGATGATCAAATTAGGTAAAAACGAGAAGGAAAATAAAGGCTAACACTAATTATTAGTTAAATATTTTCCGTATTCTTTTTCATTAGCCAAACCTATTGAATTAGTAATAATTAGCATAAAAAAATTTTAACGCGTCAAAATATTAGCCATTTTTATGTTACCGTGAATAATTTGTAAATTATTTCTTAGTGAAAATACTAAAGTTTTGGAATGTTGACCTCCATGTGTCTCTTTCAAGTCAATATTACTAACAAATTTGCTAATTGAAAGTTAACATTTGGCTAATTATTAGTAATTCAATAGATTTGGTTAATAAAAAAGAATGTTGGAAAGATTTGACTAATAATTAGTCATTACCAAAAAAATTGGGTAAATTTCACGTTTGGTCACCGGGTTTACTAAAAAGTGTCATATTTAGTCACTACGGTTCACATTTGGTCACTCTCCGTTGGTCTCCGTCCAACTCCGTTAATAGAGTCTGTTACATGTTGACGTGGCAAACAGAATCGCCTAATCAGCATAATTTAACCCCAAAAATAATAAAACTCAACCCGCCACATCACTCGACCCCAACCCCTCTTCCCTTCTGCAATCTTTAACCATTTTCTTCCCTGACTTTTTCCCTTCTTGATTCTAACCCATCTTCCCCAATCTTTCCCATCGCTTCCTCTTCCCCACTCCTTCCTCCGGCGAAACACAACCCCGGAGAACACATAGCTTCTTTTTACCCACTCCTCCTACTGGATTCAAATCCCCGTCACAACTCATCTACTAGCTTTTCAAGCGCATTATCCAGCTCTAAAATAAAGAAAAGTTAGCTACCCGGTCGCTACCTTGGACGAAAAGTGGGAAATATATATACTCGGAGAGAGAATGCAGAGGCAGATTACTCCTTATGAGCGGAAGGTCTCCTAAGATTATTCCTTATCTGCTCAGGGAAACAACAACAAGTGGAGAAAAACCAAAACGAAAATGAACAAAAGCTAGCAGGGCTGCGATTCGCGATAGACTTGGCGTTGCTCGACAATCAGATCCCCTTCTTTGTCCTTGAATGGCTTTTCAATTACACAGTCATCTTAATCTCCAGCAGCTTGCTGTATTCCGTGCATCGACATTGTTATGCGATTCTTCAAATTGGTGACCAGGGGGTCACTACTAATGACCTCGGCGCAGTCCACGACGTCGGGGACAAATTTCCTTTGGATGGAAACGATTAGAATGACGAGCAAGAAAATCATGAAGCACTTACTCCATCTAATCCCACCAGCTACTCGATCGCCTTCTTCCTCTTCTTCACGGCCGAAAGCAGAGGTGATATTCGAGATCGGGCGGTGGCGGCGTCGGCGCTTTCAGTGTTCGCCCCGTCATGGAGGACCTTTCTCGATGGGGGTTTGAGTCTAGTGTAAGGAGTGGGGAAGAGAGAGCTATGTGTTGTCGGGACTTGTGTTTTGCCAGAGGAATGAGTGGGGGAGAAAAAGCGGTGGAGAGGAACGGGGAAGAAGGGTTAGAAGCAAGAAAGGGGAAAGGTCAGGGAAGAAGAGGGTTAGAGATTGGAGAAGGCAAGAGGGGGTTGGCTTGGGTTGTGGGTTGGGTTGGAGTGATGTGGTGGGTCGGGTCTCATTATTTTCGGGTTAAATTATGCTCATTAGGCGATTATGTTTGCCACGTCATCCCATAACGGACTTCATTAACAGAGTTGAACGGAGACTAACAGAAAGTGACAAAACATGAATCGTTTTACTAATTCAAGTGATCAACATTGAAATTAAATTTTTTTTGATAGGAAGAAATTAAATACTTTTAGTGACTAAACATGACAATTTTATATAAACCCATTGACCAAACGTGGAATTTAACAAAAGAAAAATCAATCGCCGGACTCTTGCGCAGTTTGGAAATTCCTTGGAGTTACTGTGTCAGTCAATAGTCATTTGCAAATTGCAATACAGCTTTTGTAGGACGTGTGAATTTGGCGGGCTTCAACCTCGAACCCCATGGTGGGAAGAGCCCACTTCGCCATCATGCTATGTAATTCATGGTCTAGTTTCACGTCCCAACTCGACACTAGGGTTGTTGGTAGGGGTCGACACGTGGGTTGTTAATTTGCGGGTTAATATCGATCCACCTGCAAATAATCTTTTTTTTATAAGGGTGAAGATGTATTGAAACGGAGAAGGACAGAGTACAACAAAGCGGCCAGGAGTCACAAAAAGGTGACTCGGAAGGGCCAATTGCACCTGCAAATAATCCGAACCACAAATAGTGGGTGATTGATATAGATTGATTGCATGTTGATAAATCTTCTACCCATACTTATGGGGTAAATTGCATGGTTGGTCACTGGAATTATTAAAAATGTTCACGTTTAGTCACTACAAATATTTAATTCCGTTCGTGGTCATTAGATTTAGTAAAACCGTCAAAGTTTGGTCACTCTCTGTTAGTCCCCGTCTGTCTCCGTTAACTAAGTCTGTTATTTGCTGACGTGGCAGGCAGAATCGTTTAGTCAGCCTAATTTAACCCGAAAATGATTAAACCCGACCCGCCACGTCACTAAAACCCGTCATGTCAACTTGCCCAGCCTAACCTAATCCTTGAATCGACCCGACCCATAAACCGACTTACTCAAACAAAATAAGGGTCTATCCCATTTTCCTTTCCAAATCTGAAAACCTTCTTCTCTCTAGTTCTTTCCCTTCAACAATCAGCTCCAGATGTGCCTGATCGGCCTGCTAGTGAGCGAGTGGGTCAATTTGAGACCAAAATCTACCCAACCCGCCCATTGCCCATCCCTAGTTGTTGGACTGGACCAGATAGATCCACACAACTTTTAATTGGCCTACCACCAATCCGTTGACCAAGTAAACATTGCAACATTAGTGGTCAAGGAAAGAACCAACTATTTGGTTAGTGATGCCATGGGACGAGTCGGGGTGAGTACCTCAATACCTATACCCCGCCCCATGATACTGCGGGTCGGGGCAGGTAATACCCTTGCGGCCGCACTTACATGTTATTTGAAACAATACAAATAAAATTTTACATTTTCAGATATAACAAAGAAAAAATATTTTATAAATGCAAAATAGTGATAATAGAATGAGTAATTTAGCATAACTAGTTGAAAGATCAAAATAACTAGTTGAAAAAAAGTTAAAATAGGAGAAATATAAATGAATATGGTAAAACAATGAGATAGAATGAGCCAAGAACATAACAGGCTGATAAGAAGTAGATACCTATGCCCCGCCCCACGCTACTACAGGTAAAATAATACCATCAACAACACTGAGTCAAATAGATGAAGCGGATTCAAATTGACATCATTATTCATTGTTCATCGTTCTCAACAAAAACAAAGTAACCGACGAATATTCAACACGCAATTAACAGATTGAGAAACTAATAATAGAGCAAGAAAGCCAAGGATCAAGACGGGAAAATAGCTTCATCATTGTCTTTGTTTATGTCGTCCACAGAAGCACCAAAAGAGGGGAAAGAAAAAGTCAAACTACATCAATCAATCCCTGGTTCTCGACCTCTAACCAATTAATCACATCCTTGAAAAGAACGATCTCTGCAACTTAAACCCTAACAAGGAATCTTGGAGATAAACCACTCCATCACAAGAAATGGCGCCTTGATCAACCCTAGCGCGAACTCCACTACGATCGTCACGCAGAAGCAGCATGGGCATATGCAACTCAGCAACAAGCTGCAGAACACACCACGAAGGGGCAAAATTAGAAACCCATAAACTCAAATCCGAAGAACATGTAGAGGATTTAGAGAGATTCTAGGCTTACCCAGGAATCCATATAATGATGCCAATTATGGAAAGGATGAGGGAGACGAAGGCAAAAGGAAGGGCTAGCAGAAAGGCAAGAGGCCTGCATTCACAGTCATCTCCACAGCAGCAGCAGCACATTCTCCCCCTTTCTTCTTCTTCTTCTCCTTCTTCTTGACGTTTAATTTCTCTCTGGCTTCGTTTTTCTCTTGATGGGTAATTCTGTTGTAGGTAATCCCAAATATATATAAGCAAGCAACCAAACAAGGCAATTAATTAATTGACAGGAGACGTATTTTTATTTATCTTCATATTAATTACAAAGGCCGTTTACTTACCCTATAACGATTCCCGAATCAGAGAAACAAACGGTTAGCCAACCAATGACCAAATTACTATTCCAAACTAACCTATCCTTCTGCCTTGACCCTCCTCACTTTCTCATCCGCAGTCTTCTTGCTAATCCGGCTGTCAATATGATTTTAGGAGTCGCACACATTGTTTTCCTTGTCTTGACTTGAAAAAGAAGCTCCAATTGTCACAAGGAAAGACAGCAACATGCTTTACTTTGTAAACCAAAGTTTCAGAAACAAAGGTACAAGAAGCTAAATTACCTTTCACGATCCAAAATTACAGGAGTTATATGTTGAAGAGCACAGCTATGACTGTCAAAATCAAAGGACGATTCTTGGTAGAATCTCCTTCAGTTTCTCCTCCACGAGCAGGTTTCTGTCAACTATTGCCAACACATATGGCGATTGCTCCAAGATACTTGCACTAAAAAGCTTGAGCCCTAATTGAGCCGAGTGGTATAACCAAATCCTGTAAAACAACTCATCTGAAATTTGAAAGAGATAATCCCCGACTTCTTTTGGTGTACGTCATGCAATGAGCACCTCAAGCCTCAATTTCAGCGCCAACCCAACTGGAGCCAGTATCTTTCAGCACTCCCCTGATCTTCATAGCCTCTCTCAATTGACTTACATAATCCCATTTCCCAGCAGCTGCTAAAGTATTGGAGAATGAGACATATGCGCCAGGCCGCGTTTTAGCATTTAGTTTAAATAGTTCATTAGCAGCTACACTTGCCATTTCTACACTGTCATGAAGATTACAAGAATTCAGTAGGGCTGCCCACACATCAGAGTTTGGCCTCTCCGGCATCCCCATAACCAGATCCCATGCTTGGTGCAAACTTCCTGCTCGACCCAACAGATCAACCATGCAGGCATAATGCTCCATCCTTGGTTTGAGAGAGTAATCCCTCTCCATACTCTCGAAGATCTCATGGCCTTTGGCAACTAAGCCACCATGTCCACATGCTGAGATAGCGGCAAGAAAGGTCACATAATTGGGCTCGACCCCACGTAGTTGCATCTGATGGAATAGCTCGAGTGCTTTATCGGGTTCACCACTCTTGCCATAACCATCAATCATTGAACTCCAAGAGAATACATTCTTTTCTGGCATGTCATCAAAGGCTGTACGGGCGTACTCAATCTTCCCACACTTTGAATACATGTCAACCAAAGCACTTCCGATCTTTATGTGGGTAAAACAGATCTTCGTAAGCTGACAATGGATCTGTATACCAATCTCAACTTCAGTGAGAAGAGAGCAAGCCCCAATAACACTAGCAAATGTGGCAATATTGGGCCGGAAACCAAAGCGCTGCATATCAATGTAGAACTCCAGTGCTTTCCTAGCTGTTCCCACTGACCTGCTATAACCTTCAATCATGGCATTGAAGACAACGATATCCTTTTGGTTTGTTCTTCCAAATACCGCTTCAGCTTCTTCAATAGAACCATGGTTCATATATCCAGATATCATCGACGTTGAGCATATGACATTTTCATCCATCATCAAGTCAAAAATTCTCCTCGCGTAAACAATGTTTCCAGTCTTCACATAAGAATCAACCACAGTCGTGTAGAGAATATCATCAGGCTGAATCTCCAATCTAATTATCTGAGCATGAACAATGCTCTCGAATTTCCGAGGCAGCACAACACTGGAGGCACTAATACTAGTAGAGGCTTTCAAAATCATGGAGAAGGTAAACCCATCAGGCTTTTCTTGGCAATCAACAGACAACCCGCGAACCAAATTGATCAGTTCTTCAACTAGCCCTTGTCTCAAATACCCACCAACCATGTAGTTATAAGCAGAAAGCGTTCGGTGAGGCAATTGATCAAACACTTGGCGCGCATACTGCAAGCACCCACTCTTCAAGTGGAGCACGAGGAGTTTGATACGTACATTTGTGTTGGGACGGAAACCGGTCTTCAGAATATGGGCGTGAATCTTGCGGCCGTGCCCAGGAACGCTTGATTTGATGTATTGCTGAAGAGCAGCAGACAGAGTAGCGGCTGTTTGGTTGGTGACGCACTGTTCGCTCGGTGAGAAGCTTTGGCTCGTCTGGCAAAGGGAATTGAGAAATCGGGTTGACGAGAAACGGAATGCCCTGATTGAGAAGAAGATGAATTTGCCAATTTTCATATTGCCATGCGATTCAGTTGCACATCGAACTACGAAGCTTGAGTACCTCTTCTCTCGCTCGTCGTTTTCTCTCTCTGTCACTTCCAGAACCAGAACATTTGCACTGGGCCTGACCCTGGGTTTATGGGCCGGTGGGCTGTGATGAGGACGTTAGAAATAAAACCCTGGCTTTATCAGCCAGTCTTTCTCCTCTTCCCCTCCCTCCCGTCGCCGCCGCATCCACCTCCAGAATAGCGGACGGAAACCAGAGCCAAAAAGTTCAGTCCGCCGCCGGCCAGAACCTTCGCCCCGACGTCTTTCCTTAAACGAATTCCATGAATTTGGCTGATTGTTCTTCTCACTCTGCGACGGCTCGGCTTCTCCACTTTGGTAGTCCCGGCGCCATCTACCTGCGCCGGTTCGTGGGTTCTCTCCATGTAGGCCGGTGTGGCTCCAACCCCACGCACGTGAAAACCCTCCGCCTCCGTTCTAACCCTCCTAAAACCCTCACCGTAACTGGTACGCGAAAATGAGGTTTCTTTCGGGCATTTTCACAAACACCTACGCTACTATGATGACTTTTGTTGTTTGGTTGATTTTTTCGTACAGCAGCAATGGCTAGTGAGGCCGAGCTCGCGGCCTCGGCTAAGATAATCGATGGGAAAATGGTGGCCAAGGAAATCAGAGACGAAATAACCACCGAGGTATCAAGAATGAAAGATGCGATTGGTGTTGTTCCCGGGCTAGCAGTCATGCTTATCGGTGAACGAAAAGATTCTGCAACTTACGTACGAAACAAGAAGAAAGCGTGTGAATCCGTTGGGATCAATTCCTTCGAAGTGCGGTTGCCGGAGGATTCCGCTGAAACCGAAGTTCTAAAGTTTATCTCAGACTTCAATGATGATCCTGCTGTTCATGGCATTCTTGTCCAGCTGCCACTGCCAAAGGTACATATGCTTTCCCCACTTTGTTATTAGAGTTTGAGCTCTTCCAACTTACACTGCCCAATGAAATGATTTCAGAATGACATTCAATGAGATAAACCCCATGTTTGCATTTCTTGCTTGCAGCATATGAATGAACAGAACATCTTAAATGCTGTTAGCATTGAGAAAGACGTGGATGGTTTCCATCCCTTGAATATCGGCCGTCTTGCCATGCGTGGAAGAGAACCTTCCTTTGTTCCTTGTACACCAAAAGGGTGTATTGAGTTGTTGCATAGGTATGGTTTCCAAATCAAAGGGAAGAAAGCAGTTGTGATTGGCCGCAGCAATATCGTTGGAATGCCAGCTGCTTTGCTGCTTCAGGTACTAGTTGTTGTTTCCTTTCTCGGTGCCAATTGTTGCTCCACTTTTGCCTTTGTATAAAAGTCCACGAGTCTATATCCCTTTGCTGATTTGCGAGTGTTTGTGTGAAGAGGGAGGATGCTACTGTTACGATCGTGCACTCTAGGACCCAGAATCCTGAACAGATAGTCAAAGAAGCAGATATTGTCATCTCTGCTGTTGGCCAACCCGATATGGTCAGAGGGACTTGGCTAAAGCCTGGTGCTGTTGTCATTGATGTTGGAATCAACCCAGTTGAGGTGAGAAGACTCCCTCTAGTATTCTTTATTTTCCATGAGCATATTCTCTACCTGATTTGGTTGATTTGAATGTTCCACGGGGATGGCACTGACTGTTTCTTGTTTTGTTTTTTGGTTTGCTGATGCTTGTTTAAAAGGATGCAACATGTCCGCGAGGTTACAGATTGGTGGGGGATGTGTGCTATGAAGAGGCGCGCAAAGTTGTTTCAGCAATAACTCCTGTACCTGGGGGAGTTGGTCCAATGACAATAGCAATGCTTCTTTCCAATACTCTCTCCTCAGCAAAGAGAATACACAACTTCCAATGAAGTTGTATGACCGCTTCTTCCAATGCAGAACTCTCCGACTTTCAGGTTACTTGCTAAATTTATGTTACGTATTTCTGTTGCTGATTACGGGCTTTCCATTTTCATCTCTGGAAGCAATCAGCTAAAATCTGGAACCATTTGTCGCTTGTAGGAATATCATGAGTCAATGGCAATGAACTCTGCAGCACGTTTTAACACAGAGAGACTTGTGCAGTCGACAATGGCTGGCATGCCTGCTGCGGACTGTTAGTTTTATCCGGGGGTAGTAACGGTCCGTATCTTTTTGATCTATCTATATCTTGTTCAATAAGAACAAATTATGCCCTAGAATCTTGACGAGCTGTCTCCAGTTAGCGAGAATATTTGTAAGACATCTTGGTAGTAGTTGACAGTACAAAGATGAAAGATGTCTTTGTTAAGAACCATGCATCTATGATTGTTGCGTTCCTTTCTACCAGAATACTTATATGTGGATGGCCTCAGCAAGATTGCAAGCCTAATAGGAGTCAGGAGAAGCTATTTGTATGGATCATGAAACTAAGCTGGAACAGAGCCTGATTCTTATACCCAGTTGAGTTAGGGTTAGTGCTGTCGTGGGGTTTCAGGCATATGTTGCTCTGCTAGCCCTCCTGCAGCTCCTATTATGTTGGTGGGAATCCCCTCTCTGAATAGGAGTGTTTTGTAGTGGGTCATGAGAAACATAACGGGGTTTATCCTGGCTCTAGGATACTGGAAATGTGGTTAAGATCAGTATTCAATTAGTAAAAAATGAAATCCAGCACTTGTTGAATTAGTGAAATTCTCCTCTTTGAGGACGAGGGAATTCGGCCAGCACTTAACTACAAAAGTAAAGTTTCGCCCTTATTCAAAGCGAGAATGGAGGTGCGACACAATGGAGGTGTTCACTGATAACGTAGAATCGCAATGTTTTCCAAATTGGACTCGATGATAAATCAAAAAAGTTAGTGGTTGATGGATCAAATAAAAGTGTTTGTTGATAGTTAATAAAATCGTTTATGCGCTATAATATATCACACATATTATACACTAATATGAGTGAATCAATTCCTAAGCATAAAAGTTTCAAATTCATACTATCACCAAGTTCTAACAAAGTACTCAAACTAAAAAAACATATTTTTTTTATTAAATTCAAGTCGGTAATAAGAGTGACAATCCATAGTGAATCATATAAATCTTACAATGAGACTAGGAAATGAAAAAAGGAAAGTATAAATAAGATTAGTGATTGAGGTTGGATAATCTTGTTAACATATTTTTTCTTAATTTTTTGTGATAAAAATAGTGAACCAATGGACCAGTTAAATTAAGGTGGTTCATCTGATTTCATGTCAAACCATTAAAAACTGTTCGGTCCATCTATAACAATATAATCAAATGAACCTAACCGCTACTATAACTAGTTTAGTGGTTCTACTAGTCCAATCGTTGATTTGGTTCATCTGATTTCATGTCAACCCATTAAAAACTGTTCGGTCCATCTATAACAATAAAATCAAATGAACCTAACCGCTACTATAACTAGTTTAGTGTTTCTACTAGTCCAATCGTTGATCTGTTTGTTTCTTATAACAATGATAATTACTATGATTCATTAGCATTGCATTTGCAGGATGTTTGGGTAAGGCCATCTCCAATGCTAGTCACCAAATTTGGGGACCTTCATCTCCAAATTTGGAGATTATCCTCATTTTCATTATTTTTGCTCTAATGCTACCACTCCGAATTTGGGAATTTTTCTAGAATTACCACCTTTAAAAAAAATTACAAAAATACCACCCAACCCTCAAAATTTTCAAAACTACCACCATTAATTGGGAACCTCCGCAGGGGGAGACGGTTTTCAATTAAACCGCATGTGGAGAAAGCAGTTTTAGAATTGCTAGGAAAACGCTCCTCTATAGCGTGGTTTATTGGCTGCCCTAGATAAAAACGCTTGCTGAAGGAGCGGTTTTTGGTTACAAAGGGGAACGACTCCTTCCACAAGCGGTTTGTTATGTCGACAGTCAAAACTGCTTGGGGGGGGGGGGGTGTCCTTGCTACAGTCCCCAGTTTCCCGACAGGTTACATGTCGACATGTAGGGGATTGCAAGGTGGGGTTGCATATCTTTTGCAAACCGCCTTGGGGGGAGCGGTTTCCAAATGAGATTTTGCCTATGAAAGGCAGCCCCAGAGAACTCAGCACTTCACCTCCACTTCCTATTCTTCTTTAAGTTTTTGTTTTGGCGAATTGTGTTTTGAATTATTGCGATTAACGTTACCTTGTAAGTTTGGTTTGTATTACTTGTTATGTTGAGTTTGCTTTGCCAAATTTGATGGTATTAATTAAGTTAATGTTTAATTGCAGATGACATTCCAAAAGTTCACGCTTGGGTTACGGTGAAATTGTTATACGGAAGAGACCGGAAAGGGAGTACGTTACGTCGATGGTAATTTTTATAAAGTGAAGGTTGATACTAGACCGAACCTTGAAGATCTTCATCGAATTTGTACTGAGGTTACTTGCATGGGTGGCCCGAGGTGGGTTGACCGTTAAGTCGATGGTAATTTGTAAATCGCATTGGTTGTTTTCAATAATTTAAACAATACAATAACACTCGTTAGACTCTTAGAAGATGTATACATCTCGTTAGAAGCACAACCTTTTTGAAAGAAAATGGGAGATCCGAGGATCTCTTAAAACCCGATTCTCCTAGGAAATGGGAGGATCATGATGATCGCTTAAGACCCCATTTCCGTAGGCATGCATCTCTTTATGAAGAGTCTAAATAAGTGACACATTGTATTGCTTTAAATTATTGAAAATAATCAATATGATTAACAATTATTTTACAAACCACTAACTTACGTTAACAAAATAAAAAATATATAATTATGATAAATTTTAAGTACCTCGTGATCGTTCCAAACATCCCTTGAACGATGGTTAGATTGGTCGTATAGCATGGATGGATCAATCGGTTCTTGCTCCACATAATATCGTTGATCGTATATATCCACGTCTTCCCCAACCTACAATAGCATAACAACATAAATTATTTAATATATATATTAGATATAAAAATTATAACAACAACATAAAATTGGTAAAATGAGTACGTACTGCTTGATACTCATCCATAAAAATACCCTCAAGTTCGGACCAATCCGCCATTTATTCAGTAATGCGGACAGAGTTTCGACAGGCCTTGAAGGAAAAACCAAAGAAATGTTTTCTTATGAGGGGAGGATAGAGAGATACTTTTAGAGAGAGGGAGAAGAGTGAGTTTTGGTGTGAAGAGAAATGAAGGATTGGGGGGAGGGGTTATATAGCAGACAAACCGCCTGGTTGGAGGGCGGTTTGGTAATTTTCCGCCGAACGAAAACCGCCTCCCAAGGGAACGGTTTGCGTCTCCAAGGAGACAACGCGCCTCGCAGGGGCGGTTCCAAGATCCACGACGCGGATCCCTGAGCTGGCAGGCGGTCCACCGCCAGATCGCTCCTTCAACGTGCGATCTCGATAAACGCCGCCTGCGCACTCGGTTAATTGGCCGCCCTAGCAGGAAACGCCCTTCCCAAGGCGGTTTACGGTAAAATCATCTCCCCCTGCAGCGGTTCTCAATTAATGGTTGTAGGTTTGGAATTTTCGAGGGTTGGGTGGTATTTTGTAATTTTTTTTAAACGGTGATATTATGAAAAAATCGTCCAAATTTGGGGACTTCCCTTTTTTTGTGTTTCTTTACTTAATAAAGTAGTTATGATCATCTTAATCTAATTTTTAATGTTAATTTTGTATAGTTCATCATCATTTTTAAATATAAATTTTTCGATAGATTTTTTTTAATTCCAAGACCGAATTTTTTTTTGGCAAAAAATGATTGCCATAATTTTTCTTTACACACAACACTTGGAAATGATAAAGTTGAAGGAGTTCACATAATAGTTCAAATGATACTATCAGAGGTTACACACAACACTTGATAATGATAACCGTTTAGGATTTTGCTACGGTGACATGCACTTTCCGGTCGACCTCATAGGATTAGGTCGACCTAATCTGTTGTTTCAGTGTAAAAACAGTTTCATGGTGCCTACTTTGGAGATTCATATCTTACAATTGACTCGATGGAAATTGGAGATTAATGGCTTGTTTTGAAGCTGGAGTGTCCCTCTACATATTAAAGTGCTTGGGAGCTCGATAGGAAGTCCAGAAGATCATTTTTGAACTTGATGAAAAGGCTATGCCAAAACTGGGAAACTGGCTGAAAATGGCCAAGTCTGGGAACGTGTTTGTGAAGCCTACTTTGGAGCTCAATTAGAGAAGCATGGATGCGAGTCGAGTCCAGGGGCCTCTACCACGTTAAATTAGGTATGTTTTTATACAAAGTCAATTCATTGGATCAAAGATTGGATATTTTCAAGACTTCAAACAAAAGGGTCGAAGTTGCTACGAAGACTGTTTTTCTGGCGGACTTCGAGCACAAGCAAGTTGCCAGAAAAACAGCCTTTGTAGCAACTTCGACCCTTTTGTTTGAAGTCTTACAGATATCCAATCTTTCATCCAATGTCTTGAATTTGTATAAAAACATACCTAATTTAACGTGGTAGAGGCCCCTGGACTCGACTCGCATCCATGCTTCTCTAATTGAGCTCCAAAGTAGGCTTCACAAACACGTTCCCAGACTTGGCCATTTTCAGCCAGTTTCCCAGTTTTGGCATAGCCTTTTCATCAAGTTCAAAAATGATCTTCTGGACTTCCTATCGAGCTCCCAAGCACTTTAATATGTAGAGGGACACTCCAGCTTCAAAACAAGCCATTAATCTCCAATTTCCATCGAGTCAATTGTAAGATATGAATCTCCAAAGTAGGCACCATGAAACTGTTTTTACACTGAAACAACCGATTAGGTTGACCTAATCCTATATGAGGTCGACCTAATCCTAAATGAGGTCGACCGAATCCTAACTAAGGTCGACCGAAAAGTGCAAGTCACCGTGACATGCATGTCACCGTAGGCGCACCCTAAAGTTTAAAGATTACACACAACACTTAAAGATGGTAAAACTTAAAGATTCACACAACACTTGAAATGATAAAGATGAAACACATAACATGCTCTATTTCCATCTCCTCCAGTCTGACTTGCGTTGGATAAATAGTTGGGAACAAAGTTGGGACCGCCTTGATCATACCCTAGAAGCACGTTTTGTTTATTTCTCCAACACTTCCTCTTTCTTGGTGTCAACTTGGACTAGTCCCTTTCTAGAAGATCAATGTTTTCCCGAAGTAGTACCGCTTCCCTCTCTCTCTTATCAAGTTCCCACTTTTCTTCCCTCTCCCTTTTCTCAAGATCCCACTTTCTTCATCGCGCTTTGATATTTTTTTTCTTGGAATTTCGTCCTTTTTCGCTCATACTCATCCCTCAAAGCATGTCTCTAGTCCAACAATTGAGCAATGTAGCTCTCTGATGACTCATCAACCTCCTTTCCTTTCTTCTTAGCCGCCTTCTGTTTGTCGAGTCCAGCAGGGCGAGATATGACGATGGTGGAGTTTCTCCGACGAAGGGTGGAGTTTCTTCGTCCTCTCCTATGTCATTGAGGTCTGCCACTGAAGTTGATTAATAACCACGACCCATGGGAGAACCATAAGATGTTTGGCTCAAGCGGCTTTGCTATGCAGCTTCACTTATGGGAGGAATGGAAGGCGACATTGTTATCAGGGTATGAAATTTTTGGCATTTTTTCAAGATCCGACAACAATGACTAAGAGTCCAATCTTGGGCGCAAGTCTCACTTTTATATAGCTATTCTGCCATAAACTCCTATTAGAATTATTAAATCACAAGTAGACAAAAATTACCAAAACTGAAATTTACTGTTCCATACGAAAAAGTCGCCTCCTGCTGTCCACTGTGAGTTTTGCATTATGTGCTATAGTGGTAAACGGGCGGGTCTATCACAAGTTGGATGCACCTGGTTCTATTTTCAATTCTTTT